ACAGAGAAAGTGCCATGCAATCAATCAATCAAGCAAAAAACCAATTAATCATGTTTCGGAGGGGAAAGACCGTTTAACAATTATTTTTAAAACAATTGATTTATATATCTTTTTTTTCTTTTCTTCTGCCTAATTTTTTTTTCTTTCGCTGTTTGGTTATTTCGCAAGATGTCGATTTGATATTTGGTATATGATAGCGAACAGTTTATGCGCTTTCAAATCTGACCCTGCTTAACCGAATACTTTTCTTTGTAAGAGTTATCTCCCGAACACTGTTTTTCTTGTGTTTGCTACTTCTTCGCAACCGTAAAAGATTACGACAAATTTATTTTACCAAATTGCTCGCTATATCTTCAGGATGTTGAGTTTGGTTTTCACCGAAGCAGTCCGGAGACTCCATATGAGAGTTATTTCTCCTTATGCATTTGATATAAGTGATATGCATTTCTCACTGGTAAACCATCAGTAATAGAGACCTAGGGTCTTTTGATTTGAGGTCCTTGGTCCAAAAAAAAGAAAATTAGGTCAAGGTCAAAGGTCAAGGTCATATACTAAAATTTGATTTTGGCTTATTTTCACTTTTCAAAAATTGTAATAGAAATTGACAAATTATTTTTACTAAATTGTTAGTTGCGACATGTCGTAACACATACATTTTGGTTGAAAGGGTACACTAACATTAAATAGGAGTTTTCTCCCCCCTTATATTTAAAATAACGCACATGGTGATATAACTCATTAACCATATATAATTAAGACGTAGGGTCTTTTGATTTGAGGTCCTTGGTTTATGACCTTGAAATTGAGCTCAAGGTCATTGGTAAATTTGATGTTCTAGATTTTGACCTTTGTTTTTACCTCATAAGTATACATGATAAAGTCATGGGACTTTTTGCATTATCATTTGACGTTGGAAAGCAAACCGGAAGTGACCTTGTGTAAACCGGAAGTAGCTATTTTTTGTACATATTTAATGTAAAAGTATATAGAACCACATATTTTTGGAATCAGTGTCAAGTGAACTATCAAATTATACCGGAAGTATCATTTTTCAAACCGGAAGTCTCAAATTATCCTCCTTATTTTTAATTTTTTTTGTATAGAAACAATATACTTTTTGAAATTAGCGTACAATAAGCCATCATTTGACGCTTGAAATGACATTTTAAACCGAATTTTAATATCTTTATTTTAAAATAGATCTTTACTTATGGAAAGACCTTCAATTTTAATTGAAACTGTTGTCTATTTATAAATCTGTTACTTCACTTATTTTAATTTCAACTAGTCCCACCACACTCGTAATAAGATTTTGTAATGATATTGACTAAATTTATCAATGCACTGCACCCTGCAAGTGATCAAATTATATAAAATCTAATTAAATAAATGTCTAGTCCTTGAAATGTAACTTGACCAGTAATCTAAGAATCGATGAAAATTTCATCATTGTATCACTACTGTCCATCTAGCATCAATTATCTTCATGTATAATTGACAGTCATGTCACCGAGGTTATTTTTGTAAAGTCATATATTATGTAACTGATTTTTTTAACAGGAAATATTCGACATAAAATCGGGAATTGGATCATATGTCCCAAACTCGTAATAAGTTAAAACTATCACTAACTTGTTGATTAAATATCTAATACTTTGAGACAATATTGTTCGGGCTGTGTTAATCACAAAATCAGTAATCACCAAAGACAGGATGTGACATCATCAAGTGATAGATCGAAGAATATTGGTTCTCATACGTCAAATTCTGACCTTAACTTCTAGAAGATGGTAAAAAACACATCCATCATATCACTGATTAATGTAGTTATGATCAAGTATACACTGAGTAAATGTCTGACATCCTCTCCTGGTTTAAAATTACTCGGAGGAAATTGGAAGACATAATTGGCATATGTTTTGATTAAATCATATCTAGTCCTACTTCCATCAGCATGAAAGTCAAAATTGACGTAGATATACATATATTTCTTCCAAGTTTTCAATGCATGTCTTTTTTAATAAATCTCATCAAAGTGATGACTGTAATACTATGCTTAGTAAAAAAAATAGCCCTTAAGTTTATTTCAACCTTTTCAATACCAGTCTAGTCACATTGCTAATTCTGAATAACATTTCTTACAGTTGGTGTAAAGATTTTTCACCAAATATATACATTGACATTTCATGTCTAGACTCAAATCTATGACTATTTACAGGAAAATTACGATTCTTCAATAAACATGAGAATTGTTTCATTACTTTTTCTTTAAATATTTCAGACAATTCCTGCAAGAAAAAACACATTAACTGCATTCCAATTTATTTTTTTCTGTGATAATAAATTCTTAAGTATGATCATTGTAGACACTGATTACTGCAAAAAGATCTTCCTTTTAAATAATTTAAGTTAAGAGATATAATAAGTCTGGTTTAAACTATAAAAAGTTACCCTTTTACACTTTTTTCCTGTTAACATTTGTACTTCAATGATAAATGAACCAAATATTTAAGAATTAATCACAAAGATTTGCTTAACTTTATGCACTTCTATTTTTTTTTCCTAAAAGTACAATAAATCACTAACCTTTTCCTGACTAGACTGATCATTCTCAACAGAATAATTTACAGTGAGATTATTTATACCCCCCAGGTATGATTTGATAGATCATGGCAAAGCTGACCAACATGAACGATTAGATTGACCAAAATCTAAAGTGATCAGTTAATCTTATTTGTGAATATCCAGTGTTGTACTATACAGTGACAAAATCTAATTTCTGGGCATATTAAACTGTTAGTCCTAGTGTAAGCATTCCCGACGCGATTGGAAGTAGTACCTCTGGCCAAAGGGAAGCCAGTCGAAGTGGTAGGGGTGTGCCCTAAAAGTGTTGTCCAAATTAGGAAGAAACTTTATACAAACTGTACACTGACATTGTACTTACATTCATGCTACACATATTTTTTAATTTACTACCTTTATGTACATACATTTGTAATTTTTTCATTTCATTCATACATTGGTAACCAGGAACAACAAAGACAATGGAGTAAACACATTATGACATTAAAATTTAGATACCATTTTTTTTATACTTCAGGGATTGTTATTTCTATATAATTTGTCCTGAAGACGCCGATCTAATCGGCGAAACTAGTCGACACAATAAAACTTGCAGTTCACTAAAGTGTTGTTGTCAATCCAGCGGTATTTTATTTATTTATTTTTATTGACAACCCTGCATACTATCGGGTATCCTCTTTAGTGACTCTACCATCACTTCACCACAAAGGTGTTGGTTCAGCATTTTCATCCCGATTTCTGAACCCCTGCATCCACCGATCTGCCTATACCACACAGCGCCGACCACTTGGCCACCATGGAATCGAACGATACCGAAGAATTTGAAGAAGCCAGCAATCAACCGATACAATCAACCTCTGCCGAACTACAAACAAATAAAAGGAAAAGAACAAATGAAGATCAGACAGCAGAATCCACATACAAAGAAAAGCCCATAGGATTCGAGAAATAAATGTACCATCATTCCGTGCCTTCAGAAAATTAAATGTTAAAATAGTTAGGTGCCAGCAATACCAAAATTATTTAAATAAATGTAAAAACAGAGAGACCATCCCTAAATAGCCTAGAAATTTTGCGACGGTAAACCACTTTACGGCATTCCCGACGCAATTGGAAGTAGTACCTCTGCCCAAAGGGAAGCCAGTCGAAGTGGTAGGGGTGTGCCCTTAAAGTGTTGTCCAAATTAGGAAGAAACTTTATACAAACTGTACACTGACATTGTACTTACATTCATGTTACACATATTTTTTAATTTACTACCTTTATGTACATACATTTGTAATTTTTTCATTTCATTCATACATTGGTAACCAGGAACAACAAAGACAATGGAGTAAACACATCATGCGTTAAAATTTAGATACCATTTTTTTATACTTCAGGGATTGTTATTTCTATATAATTTGTCCTGAAGACGCCGATCTAATCGGCGAAACTAGTCGACACAATAAAACTTGCAGTTCACTAAAGTGTTGTTGTCAATCCAGCGGTATATTATTTGTTAGTCCTAGTGTAAACATATTCATTTTTCTGTCCCATGTCGGCTATGAGGGTAATAGCAAGTTTGTTGTCCCTGAGATACCAACTATTGATCGAGGCGGAGCAATAGTGGCAAACTATTGATCGAGGCGAAACAATAGTGGCAAACTTGCTATTACCCTCATAACCAGTCATTAAGTTTTTTATTATACCGAATGAAACATCTTTCTAAAAAGTTTACATACACCATCTGGAAAAAAAATTAGTCACTTAAACATGCACAAGATGAAATATCATTTTTTTTTGGCTCGTGTGCTATTTGTCAATATTTTATTTAGTACTGTAATCAAGACCAAGAATCCTTGAGTAAAAGTTCCTGTGCACATAACAAACGCTATATAGAATATATTACCATACACCAAAGCAGATTATGCAAACGACGACAGACTCATACCATACATTTGATATGTTTAGTTCTTAAAATATGTCACGTACATTTTCCTTTTTTTTAATTGCTTCTGGTAATCAATATATTAATTTGAAACAACAGACACATACAGATTATACCACTGATATTTCAGAGTTTAACGTTGCCAAGCACACAAAACAAGCAGAATAGTCAATGAGGTCATTGTTGTCCAATGTAAAATTAGTATGAAATATCCGGGAAATATGTTCATAAAACTATTGACCTGGGTAATAGTCTTTGAAACTATTGACTGGCAAATGGTCTGTGGAATGAAATAGCACAAATATTTACCCGGTAATTCTTTTTATGTAGAATAAACATACTGAGGTATAATAATGTTGGATATAAGATGGCTATGTTTCTATGCATAGTGTAAATTCTGCAAATTAGACAGACTGTGCAAGACCCTCATGGGTAGTCAAGGTCGTTAAAAAAAACCTTGGCAAATGAGTATTAAACCGTTTCTTACCAAAGTTCTAGGTATATGCCTTTTTTCTCCAGGTCCATATACTCCTGCTAATCTCAGGGCACAGGTACATAATCCATCAGTACCATTAGCAGTTAACACTTTCTTCTCTGCTATACTTTTTGTTCTGGAATAGTGATCAGGATGCTGAAATAAAATTCAAAACACTATTTATAGAACATGAAGTATCTAAATACAAATAAATGGGGAATTTGTCCATGGGACACAGATGATGCCCCCGCTTGCATATAATATAAAGTTATAAATAGACATAACTGAAGAATGGTAAAAGTGACACTACCGAAATTTGTACTTGATCTGAGTTTTGTGGTAATAAGCATTGTGTATAAGTTTAAAAACATTTGATTGAGGCAAACTAAAGTTAGAGAACGGAAACGAAAAATTATGCAATTTTTATGTTTATAAAGGGGCATAACTCAAGAACAATAAAAGTGATGCCTCCCAATTTCGAACTAGATCTGTATTATGTGGTAATAAGCATTGTATATAAGTTTCATAACATTTGGTTGAGGCAAACTAAAGTTAGAGAATGGAAAGCAATTTTTCCATTTGTAAAGGGGTATAACTCTAGAACGGTTATAGTGACGCCACCAAAATTCAAATTTAATCTGTGTTTTGTGGTAATAAGCATTGTGTATAAGTTTCATAACATTTGGTTGAGGCAAACTAAAGTTAGAGAACGGAAACCAACTTTGGGATGTATGGACGGACAAGGGTAAAACTTAATGCCCCCTCTGCTACGGCGGGGGCATTAAAATAAGATTTTAATTACCGGTTTTGACTGAAAACAATTTAAAAGTTGGCAAAACCAACAGATGCTCTCCTAACAGCACAATGTACATCCATTTTATGGTGTATATTTCGTCCAAAAATTCAAAAGACTCTAACAAGTATTCATCTATTTTGAGACAATAATTTTGGAACAGTAATTCCAGCAGCAGTGAAAGTCAACCTTGTCCTGTTTTAATGACAAGTTATTCTATCCAAAAGTTAAGTCCTAACCAAAGTGCAATTAAATTACGAATGGAAATTGATTTAACATTTTTATTGTATTTCATTGTTGAAAGTTATGTTGCGAACTAATATTAAGGTCCGAAGAATTGCTAACTAGAGGCTCTAAAGAGCCTGTGTCGCTCACCTTGGTCTATGTGCATATTAAACAAAGGACACAGATGGTTTCATGACAAAATTGTGTTTTGGTGATGGTGATGTGTTTGTAGATCTTACTTTACTGAACATTCTTGCTGCTTACAATTATCTCTATCTATAATGAACTTGGCCCAGTAATTACAGTGGAAAATATTTTGTAAAAATTTACAAAAATTTACAAAATTTATGAAAATTGTAAAAAATTGACTATAAAGGGCAATAACTCCTTAAGAGGTCAATTCGACAATTTTGGTCATTTTGGCTTATTTGTAGATCTTACTTTGCTGTACATTATTGCTGTTTACAGTTTATCTCTATCTATAATAATATTCAATATAATAACCAAAAGCTGCAAAATTTTCTTAAAATTACCAATTCAGGGGCAGCAACCCAACAACGTGTTGCCTGATTGGTCTGAAAATTTCAGGGCAGATAGATCTTGACCTAATAAACAATTTTATCCACCTCAGATTTTCTCTAAATGCTTTGGTTTCAGAGATATGAGCCAAAAACTGCAATTTACCCTATGTACTATTTTTTAGCCATGTCCGCCATCTTGGTTCACGGGCAGGGTCATCAGACAAATTTTTTAAACTAGATACCCTAATGATGATTGTGGACAAGTTTGGTTAAATTTGTCTTAGTAGTTTCAGAGGAGAAGTTTTTGTAAAAGATTACAAAAATTTACGAAAAATGGTTAAAAATTGACTATAAAGGGCAATAACTCCTAAAGGGGTCAACTGACCATTTTGGTCAAGTTGACTTATTTGTAGACCTTACTTTGCTGAACATTATTGCTGTTTACAGTTTATCTCTATCTATAATATTCAAAATAATAACCAAAAACAGCAAAATTTCCTTAAAATAACCAATTCAGGGGCAGCAACCCAACAACGGGTTGTCCGATTCATCTGAAAATTTCAGGGCATATAGATCTTGACCTGATAAACAAATTTTTTAAAACTAGAATGATGATTGTGGCCAAGTTTGGTTAAATTTGGCCAAGTAGTTTCAGAGGAGAAGATTTTTTTTAAAGTTAACAGACGACGGACGACGGACGCCAAGTGATGAGAAAAGCTCACTTGGCCCTTTGGGCCAGGTGAGCTAATAAAAAAACTAATGAATAACAGCAATAAAAGTGCAGTTACATTGTTTTTGGTTTTGTCAAATTCATGAAGGGATTTTGTGTCCCTGTCAAGGATTATTCCAGTCCCTTCCATGTTATTATTACTTATCATTAGCAAATAGTTTGCTATGATTGGCAAAGATATTGTAGAAATTATAAATAAAATCAAGAAACTGAAATTAATGATACATACATACAATCTCATTCCAGACTTAAAATTTAGAATCAGATATTTAGAAACGATCCATGAAAACTTATCAATCCTTTAAAAAAACTTATTCTAAAAGGTTACCAATTCAACACTGTAATTAGACCTTAATATATATTGTTTTTATTGGTATAAATATTGATTTTGTTATCAGAAATTCAAAACCATACTAAAAATTATTGTTATATGCACATTCACAGTACCACAATCTGTCAATACCTATATTTTGGCATTGCACAAGGTCATATTTTTCTCTGACTGTCAATGACGTCTTAACACTAAATCCATTTGATGTTGGATGTGTACTGATTGATATTTTAGTCTTAGATACATCATTTTTCTATCAGTTGTTATTAGCTTTAAACTAGCAGTCAGTAACTGTGAATACTCTAAGATCTTTATTAAGTGTCTTTTTTGCTGTGGGATTTATAGATATGCTGCCATGTCCGTCTGTGTTTTCATTATATTTTTTTGCTTTGTATCGATCAGATGAGTTAAGCCCTTTTCAACTGATTTTTATAGTTTGTTCATATGTTGTACTGTTACACCACTGTCCCAGGTTAAGGGTGGGTTGAGTGCTCACAAACATGTTTAACCATGTGCCTGTCCCAAGTCAGGAGCCTGTAGTTCAGTGGTTGTCATTGGTTCATGTCTGTCATATTTGTTTTTCGCAAATTGTTTTGTTATAAATTAGGGCGTTAGTTTTCTCAATTGAATTGTTTCATATTTTTCATCTCAGGGCCTTTCATAGCCGACTGTAAGGTATGGGTTTTTCTCATTTTTGAAGACCGTACGGTTACCTTTAATTGCTTACATCCACTTCATTTGAACTTTGGTGGATAGTTGTCTCATTGGCAATCATACTTCCTCTCCTTATTTTTATATTACTTTCCCATTAACATTTTTTATTTAGAACTAAACCAGAAATGTAAAAAGAAAAAAAATTTATGCAAATATGTTCTGATTCAATTATAACTGAGACCAATTTAAATTAAATTTCATTAATTTAAATTAATCACAACACTGTTACACTGCATGACATTTAAAAAAACATTGTTACAAAATGATTCACTTAAGACAATATGTTTTCAACAAAATACAACCGTTTACACTTCTATTTGCTTCAAATAATATATAAATATAGTAAATTTACAAGGCTGTTGCCATTCTTGTCACGTCAAGACCATATTTCAGAATATTATGTCAACAATATGGTGCTTAGAATCAAGTACTTTGTGCTATTTACAACAGTGGAGTCTATCCTAATACCATAATTGACAAACAAAATAACAATTAATATAGTCTGGAATTGTCATGGAAAAATGGATACATCACTACAGAATGGGAAAATTAGATAAGATTGCTATTTTAGATGGTATAAGGAAATTGCTGTGCAAATCTATTGATCATGTTGTCACTGTTAAGTGTTCTAGATTGAATATAAGTATAGAGTATTGAATGTAACACAGTCATCGGTCTTTCTATTTAATTACAAAAATGGGCGATGTCTATGATTAGACAATAGAGTAACAGAGGGGAACTGACCATGGGATTGTTATCTTATTTCAATAAAATAGTTTAAAAATCGGCAGAAGAAATATTTTAACTTTACTCTCTAACTATTGGAATTCTATGAATAAAATCAAGTTAACTATGAGTAATGCTAGGTTTCCTTTGAATATAAAAAAAAATGAAAAACAGCTTAAAAACAAATAGATGAACCCCTTATGCCTTTGATAAATCTGTGGTCATCTTTTTTTGACTAATTAATTGTCACTGATATATATGGGAAAATTGTATATGGTAAATGAATTACTGAAACAATATTGTAATTTTGTTATTTCTACAAAGCCACAAGTGTCCTGCAAGTAAACAAAATATATTTGATTATTTCTCCCTTTGTTATAGAAACAAAAGATATAATGTAATAAAGAGCTTCATAAATGTCAATAAAAAGACAAGAAGATGAATGCAATGTTGCTTTTTCCAGCTTAAATATAAACAAACTTAAGTCCAGGATTGGTTCAGAATTTATATTACTGATTCTCATTTTGACAGAGAGTTTCCATTATTTATTTTAGATTAGCATAACATAATTGTATTTTATGTGTTGTTTTAATATTGTTTTATTGGTTTGGTATAATTTGATTGGAGACTAGTGTGATTCTGACTGAGAATGGTTTAATATTGCTTCCTTTTGTTCTAAAAGCGTACTTGAATGTTGTAGCCGCTACAGGAAGGCATGGAATACTGTTAATGAGGGTCTTCTACAGGTTCCTAATCTTGTAAAAACTTGTCTGGAACTCTCACAATCATTAACACATTTTGAAAATAGTTAAAAATAGTTTATCAAAGTGCAAGTTCTTTTTTACTTTATCATATCCCCATTAACTTTGTGCAGATAAAAAGTATTAAACCATTTTCATTAAAAATAATGGCTTAAAAGGGCAATCTAGTAACATGATTTTATAGAAAAAAGATTTTTGCATTAAAAAATAAACTGTTATCTCAGAGATATGTCTCGCCTTTTTGTAATTTTGATAATGCAAATGTTGAAATTGAAATTGCAATACTTTAACATGTATTGTAAGTAATGCAAATATTCAAAGTCAATGAACCATGACTGAAGGTACATGGCTAAAC